CCCTAAAGGAGGGTCGTAGATGGAAAGTGGGGGTGGGGGTGTTATTGCAATGACAAGTTGACCCGTCGGTCCATCTTCTATGTCCCAGTAGTCTCGTTCCACACGTCTCCAGATCTCTAATCTTCTCCTGCCTACCTAAAACAGGAACAACTTTGAACATTCAGCCTGAATCTTTTGAACTTTATATAGAATGACTGTCTAAGAAGATCACGAAGGTATGTGGCTTTTATATTTTGTGGGGCAACGCTGTGTTTCAGTCACAACTTTTGGCTCACTAGAAGTGTTGATTGTGATTATGTTGCCAGGATAAAAGCTTTGAAATTATCCCCCACCCCCCTCAAATTTAGAGTTAAATTCCCTAAATGGGTCACGGGTCAGTTTTTATTGGGCTGCCGATCGCCATTGAGGAAAATGCTGGAAGCTATTTTAATTAATTGTCAAACAGTCGTTTCTGGGCGAAGGGCGTTTTGATGCGTTTGTTGTAAAAATTTAACCGTGTTGTTCTTCACCCTTTTATGTGTCAATTGAATATCAATACTTGCATTGGCAGAAGGATCTCGAGTAAACTATTTCAGGTGATTGGAAAAAAAGGAAGTGTCGTTCTAAATTCTAAGAAAAAATAATTTTGCCAAAATATGCTTTTTTTTTTCAGCTAAAGGGAAATATTTTCGAGTATAATTGTAATTGGTCACGTGTTAAGGTGTTCTGGATCCCTGTTCCAAGCTGTGTTCATTTTGGATGTCAGTTGAGAAGAAAAAAAAAAGTCAGTTTGTGTCAGACGGGGGAATCTCTTAATGTGACTCACTCTGTGCTCGGTCTCCAGTTGTTCATTGTGCCGCACCTGCTCCTACCCTGTCAGAACACCGACAGAAATAGAGTGCTGCCGAGCACAGCAACACACACACCAAACATTCCCCTAAGTTTTTCCATCCAATTTTCGAGCGCTTCGCCTCGTCGCTGATATTCTCAGGAGTGTTGAGCAAAGTGATGAAGCCGACGAGTCAAAATGTGGAAACGAGACGAAAAAAAACAAATATCCTGCCTTTTTTTATTCCCTTTGCGTCTTTATTTATGAATGTCTAATGAACTTGGACATTTGCAGGATTTAATTGGAGTCATCCTGATGGCCGGTTTATTTTTACATCACGGCCCAAATATACACGAGCCCTGGTTTACTAACGTAGTTTGACGACCTGATTTTGAGGTATGGGGTGGGGGTGGGGGTAGGGGGGTTGTCAGCTGGTCTAGACTGGAGGGTAAGGCAGTGTGCGGCACGATGTTGTGATAGTCTTCAGTTACACATCGTCACAGCTCGACCGGCTGTGACGCCATCCCCTTTTCTCAGCTAGTGATTGTGGAGTCGCCGTGGTTTAACTGACTCACCTCCACCGCATTTTATTTCCTTATTGGGCCAGGAGCAAAGCTGACTCATCAGAAATGTGAGCTTCTGATTGTATAGTCTGTTATTATTTCAGTGTGAGGTCCCGTTGGTTCACAAAGCTTTGCATTGTATTCCCAAAACGATATTTCTTGATATATTTGTGATCACGTGACACCGTTCAAGCAAGTATTCAAATTGTCTTTCAATACAGAGCGACTTGTCCACAGAGACCGGGTCCGCTTTGTCTTAGCCGTCTGCAAAGCAGTTTAGGTTTGCATTGAAAATCTTGTCCGAAGGCCTATAATCCTGGTCGCCTCACGTGGTGGTCTTAAGTACATATTTACCTCGCCGCGTCGTCTTTTCATTTATTTAAAACCCACCAGCCCTCGTTTATCGAATTAGTGGTGATTTATGATGAGCCACTAATAGTCCTTTGGGGCTTCGACTGGACTGTCTGTCCCCGACGTTGACCTCAGATTTGAGCTCTGTTGGAGGCTGCTTCAGCTGCAGGTAAGGCCTTGGACAGTACTTAAGAGTCTTGCAGAGTTCAAAAATAATGGGCAAAAATAATTGTCTGCAAGTATGGACAAAAAATAATTGTCTGCAAGTGTTTATCTAATAATGACCGGCCGCACATGTGAGCATGTCCAGGCTGAAATCATCCACTGTAGTTGACCGAACATCTGGGGAGGTGATTAGTGGAGAGGAACAACTCTGTTATGCTTGTCTGGTTCTCGGTGCTGTTTCATATCACAATTGTGATCAGCTGATAGGATTTGATATGCAAGGGAAACTTTGTTGCTCGAAATAATGAAGCAACAAATTACCCTTTTTCGCCTATTACACACTCGTAGTTCTCTTGCGGTACTTAAGAAGTGCATTTCGTTGTTTTGCTTTAATGATGCAGATTCCCTTTTTTTGTTTGTTTTTTTTCCATACACGTGAAATTGTATTTTACTGCACAGGGATCGTTTTGTATTTGGGGAAGCCTCAATATGTACATTTACTGTACTGGTAAGATCCAGTTGAAATGCACGAGCGTATTCATACAATCCTGGTTTTCAATGATCCGTTATAATTTCAGATTGACAAAATGTTATCGCAGAGAGTGGGAAGAACAAAGGTCTGGGCCCAGTAATCAATGTATTCCTGAATAGATACAGCATCCTGGAATCAATCCCCCCTCAACAGGAGTGCGGCTTTCTTTGTCACTGACCTTTTGACCCATCTTGCTTTCTTTTATTGAGCTGTAATGTTCGCCTTGAATCGTTGCCAGGAAAATCAAATCGCTTTAATCATGATTTTTTTTTTCTTTTAATTCCCTTTCATCATTTCGCTCTATTGCTTGACCTGACTCTGCAATTCCCCACCAAGGTTTCAGACACAGAGAAGCGTTGCCTCATTGGAGAGTAACCTGTAAGGTCTTGCCTATTCTCAGCAGTTGAGGCTCATCGTTGCTAATAACAGGGTAGTAACCATCAGGCTTTTTTTTTTTACGGGGCTGATCTCATCTTTGACAGATGAGTCAAAGAAACAAACATTACCCCAATGAGTAAGACATACATACATCCATACATCCAGGCAGGTGTTAACATGGTTGGAGGTGCAGAGGTGATGATAGCGTTCCGGATGGCAGCATTTGTGTCCCACCTTTCAAAACGCTCGCTTTGGAGCGTCTGTCTGTGTCAGCGTGTTTACGTGCTAGTCGATGAGCTCATCTCGGCAGACCTAAACATGTCATCCCTTTTCGTGTTCTCAACCCCGACTGTCTGCTGGGCTTCATATTAAATTCCTCATGTAGCCCGTCTACCATGGTGGGTTTTGTTGATTTTTTTTTCACCTGATTTTAAATTGTCCTTTAAAACTGCTGATGCTGTAATTTGTCCAGGGAGTTGAATATATTATCCCGGCAGTCATGAATGACCTAGCTCATGGTGACGGGGTTACTGCGTATGCCGCAGATAGATAAGATAGACCGCACTTGTTTTCCCGTCAGCATCAGAATAACCACGTCGGGCTTCATGCCAGGCTCCTTGTTGAGGCCTTCTCAGCGCGGACGATAAGCGCGTCACTGACGCCCGGACGTGGACGCGTGTATGTCTGCAAGTTTTCATGGGTGCATTTTGGCATTCGCGGGTGCGATGATCCGAATAGGAAAAGGGTTTCTCGAGTACGTGGCTCTGTCCGATCGGAATGATTGGTTCATGTGTGCTTTGAGGAGGACTTTTGAGTGTCAAAAACGGGGAGCTGGGGGGAAATTTAGGTACATTTCGGTGCTTGAGCCAAATGTTGCTGGATGGCTTTTGACGTTTTCGGTTTGCAGATTGGTCACGGATAATCTCGTGGTTCACATGTCTTTCACGCTGCCTGTGTGTGATGAATTCCTTAATTCCCACTCAGTGACCGTAGGTGTGGATGGACGTTCTTATTATGTGCCTTGAGAGCCACTGGGAAATAATCCGGGGTGAAGTCCGCTTCTTGATTTCAGTCCGCTGGGATCGGCTCGTGCTTTCACATGACACCGACCAGAATTAGTGGCATCGACTCACAGGACAGAAGCAAAAGGGCAGAGTGTAATTGTTTTGAGCGCTTTGAGCTGTAACGTCACATAGTGGAGACAATACCAGAACACCGATTTTCTCAAACTCGTGTACTGTGCGTGCAAGCGGCACATTGGGTGTGAAAATATGAATTTGCCACTCTGAACCTCATTCATCTCCCAGATTTCAAATCGTAGAGTTCTGTCCAGCTGTTGCAAATGCCTTCCACTGTTCTCCACGGAGCAGAAAGTGAAATGACACACACATTTTTCACCCCACGCCAAAATCAAAAATGGTCGGGTCCCTTTCTGTACATCATCTACCACACCTGGGGACCCCTGATCTACCACATCCAACCTGAAGGATTTGTGTTACAGAGTTAGATCTGGGTGCAGTTCTCCAGTAGTATTGGTCTCAATTTGCCTTGGGCTCTCTTTCTTGCCTCTTCTTTTTCCAGTGTTTGTCACATCTTATCTGGCTTCCTGTCTCTGTCCCTTTTATTTAATTCCTGCTGGAAGAGCGCTGGAATTTCTCATCAGGCTGACAGGGTTATTTCTACTGCTCTCGTCCCGCTCGCTTTGCTTTCCTCCCATCGAGCCTCTCTCCCCTTCCCCTCATGTCCAGCACGGGTTTCTTTGGCAACCCACTGGTGTGTAGGAGCCAAGGATTTGGAAAGCAGCACTCTCCTCGGACACTCCCAACTTTCCTTGCTTCTCGCTCATCTTTTTTTTTTTTTTTTTTTTTTTTTGCTCCTCTGTGTCTGGAAGGCTGATTCAAACCTCTCGACTGCAATCTGCCTGTGAAACCGGGCCTGGGTTAATGAGATTAGCATGTGCAGCACAGCTTGTAGCTTTGCATGTTGTGGTGGTGGTGGTGGTGGGCACCCTCAGTGGGTCGCCAGAGAACTAACTGGGACCTCCTTTCTTATATTAGCCCTGCAGCTAGACTCACAACGCTCTCTCTCTCTCCTCCCTGACTTGAGTGCTACCTGACTTCATTCTCTCTCTCTCTCTCTCTCTCTCTCTCTCTCTCTCTCTCTCTCTCTCTCTCCCCCCCCCCCCCCCCCCCCCCCCCCCCCCCTCACGCTGTCCCAAAGCTGCAAAAACTGCTTTCTCGCTGCATCACCTCTTGTGCAGCTGCATTTCTTTCCATTTTCTTTTTTAAATTCACCCTCTCCTACCATTTTTTTTCTTTCCTTTGCCAAAATGTACCGGAACCCGTGGATTTCCAATTATCTGAGCCATGTCAAGTTTTGCAGTGAAGGTAAGAGCAATGTTCTCTCCAGCTCAGGTCATAGGTTTGGGATTCCGTTTTGGAGTCGGTGACAGATTACGCAGATTGAGGAGCCTCGGATAAGATCAGAGAAGTTGTCAGGTGATGCACAGCAGACTTGATTCCGTTCTGTTTTGTGTCCCACTTTTCAGCCAGCTGTCATTGCATTGCAGCTGTAGCCTGCAAGGACAGCCGAGATAAAGGACTCTTAACTATGCAGTGGTCTTGTTTTTTACCCCCCCAGGGAGTCTGCTTTCTGGCATGTGCATACACCTGGTCTTAGATTTTGACGTGGAAAAAAAAAGCATATAGTCTTCTTAGTGATGCTCTTTCGACTTATGTCATGGATCTTTTTGAGAAATTAATGCACTAAATTGCCATTCTAACAACAAAGAGTGTTCTCATCAAGTACTACCTCTGTTGAACCATCAACCAAATATCCCAATGTTAACTAGCCACCATTCTTCTTTAAATTTTGCAAATGAGTAGATGATTAATGACATTTATAATACACAACCCTGAGTTACAGTCACAATCAAATCGTCGACTAGTTGGTAAACTTACCCCTGTGATTATTTAAAAAAAAAAAAAAAGCAGGGCCTTGCTCAAGGGAAAACAAAAACTTTTACAACTTCATGATATATTTACAGTCTGATTTAATTTTGACTCAATTATTTTGGCACTGGTGACTGACCACAGATCTGTCTACTTCTCATGACCAACCCGTCCTTTGTGACGTTTCCCAAGTGAAGAGACCCGCTTCCCCCCCAGGTGGGAATACTTTGCAATCCGCTAGAAGCTGCTCACAGTTTGAGGCTTTTATGCCCGATGCAGGAGGTTTGGTTGATTAAACATCAATGTTCTTTGCTGCCTGTTTTCGATCCTGCAATGGAGTTTTTCATTGGACCAAGTACTCATTACCTCTATGCTGAAAAAAAAAGAAAAAAAAGAATAGTACTTAATTTTGGTCATGTAGATTGTTTGTACATGATCTGGCAGACAGAGAAAAATTTCCCCTCTTCTCCTTGAAAACAATAGAATGAACCTTAACTGAGGACATTTTTTTTCCCAGTCTACCAAAGATGTTATGTTGTCATCACTTTTTTTTTTTTTTAACATTTTAAAAATAATGCATGAACCTTTTAATGATAAAATTCAGGCATATGCGGGAAGGGGTCTATGCTATTTAGTTCGAAATTATTATTCCGTCTGTGAGGCCTGCACACAGAATGGCATTTTAGTTGTTAGGAACATTGAAAGCCTAATTGGCTTATTGTGTAGCCTTTTGTTAAATCTCAATGCTTGCAGCCTTGGCCTCACCTCAGCTTGTGATTTCCCCATCTGTTTTGTAACGCTTTGCCTTCTAAACTGCTCTCAGCGAGGCTTTAGTCACAGTTTGAGGCTGTCCACCTCAATGAATGGTGAGGGCAGACGGAGTATGTGGGTAATTGCTCGGAGACGTCGACGTCCATGCGCACACGCAACACGCGCTCGCGCAGTGTGATGTAATGCCGTCAGATCAAGCATGTCGCGTTTCCTTTTGGACGCTTTAATCCCGAGAATCGAAGTTAATCCTATATCTCACCTTGTACATATGCTGTCTCTTCGGTTTTGCTACCCTTAGTTGTTAGCATGATGTCATACTACAGTACTGCCAGTGGAAATAATATTGTTTTCCACTTTGAGTGTGAGTCACGTAAGGTCAAAAGTCAGAAACTAATGACTTTGCTTTTCAACAAACTATCATTCATGACAGATTGATAGTCATCGATATGTTGGAGGGACATTCGTTCTTCGGTATCTGACGCAATACGGTTGTTTTGATTTTCTTGTGTGCGTCAGTTTTCATAGGTACGACAATTTTGTATCAAACCATGAGATCGCTGTCAACGCAGCCATCTTGGTTCTTTCAGGTTTTTGCATGGACCGGATTACAACCAGCTGAAACAATAAAAGACCCTCCCCAGACGCAACCAGGCACACTGCCCTCTGCAAACAAGCTTTCTTTCATCCCAAAATATTTTTTGCTCGAGTGGGACTGCTTTCAAGTATCAACCCTAACATGCCTAATCGGACCAACCGAGACGAGATTGTGGCGATGAGGGCTACAGAGGGTGGTGTTGGAAGCGAGCGGTCTCAAGGGGAAGGTTTTGGGTGGAGCAGAATGAAGCCAGTACGTGACTCAGCCCTGAAGTCAACTCTTGAGAGGATGCAGCGAGACCACGTTGGTTGTGAAGTTGCCTGCATCGAGCCACTCTCAGGTCCAAGGATTCCGATAAACAAACATTTGACACTAGGACTCCTCACCAAGAATAAGGTGGACTCTGTATTGCCTATAACCATTGATGTTAGGTTTTCTTATCAATGTACGTCCAGTGGCGTTTGAGGAGAAAGGAATGAGAAGAGTCATTTCTCCTTGGGCTGTCTTCCATTTTTCATGCTGTTTGTACCGCCCAGAGCCATGAATGTGCTTGACTCTTCCCTGGCATCGTCCCAGCCCGCACTTGCACAGCAACCTTGACGTGTGATCAGACTTAACCGTGCCTGCGACACACCAGCTGTTACTAAAAAGACATGGGCCGTGACATCATCCACACACAAATATTTCAGATATAGAAGCAGTGAGGTCATTCGAAAATGACTTCTGTGTCTCTGAGCTTGGATGACTGGGAGTCTTTGAGCACAATATGTTAGTTGTTTTGAAAATGTGATTCGGCCAAGAGTTTTATTTCTGCTAGTCCACAGTGTGGTCTTTCAAGGGGCCAGATATACAAGCTTGTTTTGTGAGGGCTTGCAAATGCTCAAACCGAAGCCGTTGCAAAGGGCTTGATGATCGTGACATGAAGTGTTTCTCTCCTCTGTCCTCAGGACTCGCAAGCGACAGCCATATTTCACTTGGCAATCCCAGATTGCTTCAGAGGAGAGCTCTTAGGTAAGACACACTCGTATAAGAACTGATTTTTTTTTCCTTAGCACAAAATAAACCAAGTACGCCATTAGTTTGACTCAATGTTAAATAGACTGAAACCGCTAAAGCTGCTCCTATGATCCTGCTCAATGTCAGATTTGCTTGGTTTTCGAAACAACTTCTCCCCCTAAAAATGAAGGTGATGATGATGAATATCAGGGGCGGAGCTCTCTGACCACCCTTTGTCCAGTGAGATCTTGTTATCCCCTTTGGCCACCCCACTGAAAAATGTCCAGCTACGCCCCTGGTGAAAACCTCACAAGCTCATTTGGACGTGAATAAAAAGGATACTGTATGGTAGAACAAATTTAGCACGCCTTTGTTGGGGGAGCAATGTTGTAGAAAAGAAAATAGAACCAGCGGCCGTGTCCAGTTCAGTAAATGTTTGCCACCTTGTCGCCTGCTAAAACAGTAGCATCCTACTGCAGCATTCGAGGCACTGCTCAGCAGGCTGTCAAATACTCCACCCAGCTTCCACGTTAGCCTTCTACTGTTAAATTACCTTTGCAGCAGTCACACAAGTGTGGGAAAGAGGCTTTCACGAAACAGCATTGTGAATGTAGCGGTCAAAGGAGTTGGTGTTTTTGTAGACGAGGTTCAACAACTCTGTGGTTTCCGCAAGCGGCAAAAACTCTCACAGAACTTTTATTATTATTATTATTCACATCTGGAGTACATTTTTTTGAGGTTTTAGATCAAATTCCAAGTCACCGAAAAGAGATGTATTGTATATCTGTTTAAGATTGAAGGGTTTAGTCAAGCTGAACCATATCATTCAAGATCCATTCTGAAATGATCCGGTGCAGAACAAAATTTCTTGATAATTGAATTCAAATGAGTGGATGAATGCATAATTCATATTTCAAGACCATTCTGCCTCAAGCGGTTTCGTATGAACTGTTGATCCAACCCTGGTTAGTTTAGCATTCCATTTCCAGCTACAGTACATCAATTAAGTTCAAATTTTTATTTTTATTTTTTTTCTGTTTCAATAGGCAATACAGTAATACTTCTTTTCCTTTAACCCTCAGCTTCCAAAAAGACTTCTCCTTTGACGAAAAAGGTGATCCAATCAAAGTTCCGAAAGACACAGATGTTAGTCTCTTGGCTAATCTCAACAAAGGTATGCAATTTTTTCTATTTGTATACAGCACTTTCAAAAGAACAATTATCTTTTCTATGTGATATATTATCTTGATTATTAAGATTAGCTGGCTGATTTTTTTTTTCTCCATTTCTTTTTAAGTCTCTGAGTTGAGGAAACGATTTGAAGGCATCACCACAAGCGCGAGTGATTGGGAAATGAACAGGTGTGGAGATGATCGACCTTATTGTGCTGTTTTTTTTGGAGTCTACTGATGATGATAACGTTGCTCCTGCCCATGTGCTTAGAAAAGAGCGCATCGCTCGGCGTGTAGAAGGCATTGAGGGTGAGGTGCATCCATCCCTGCTGCCCAATCTGGTGGCCAACCGACTTCTGGAAGAGGATACACCACGATACACAAGAGCCTCTGACCCCTGCGAGCCATGCGGTGGTAAGGATACTACGATGACTCACGACTTAGTTGTTGCCATACAAACGAGGCCCAACTTGTGCTCCCTGTAGTTACTGTGCAGAGGTACGGGATGGAAGGGTTTGAAAATCCAGATCTGCAGCCGATGGTTCCCGAGCGACAGTCCAAAACTCAATGCAGATCTGATCCTAAAGCCTCCAATCGCACCGATCATGTCTCCGGTTCATCCTCATCCACCAAAGTGGCTCCAGAGCTCGAGTCCAAAGCTGAACGCATTGCCCGCTACAAGGCGGAGCGGCGTCGGCAGCTAGCCGAGCGCTACGGCATCTCTTTGGACCAGGAGCCGGACATGGAGCATCCATCCCGGTACACTCGTACTCTGAAAGAGTCTGAGGGTTCCGAAAGGCGCAA